AAAGTATAGTACCAAAGAGAAATATTGTAGAGGCAGTGTGCAAATATCATTCGCTATTAGTCTAATTAGTCTACGTATAGTGTAAGGATAGGTTAAAGCACGCAATGCTAGATGTAAGGGATTAAAACGGAAAACAAAATGTAAAAAACAATGTAAGGCAGTGAGGTCTATTTCTAGGCCGAAAGGCTGAAATATAGATTCATTCATTTATTCATTATATTCACATGCCTAAAAGTAGCAGAATAAAATACTCAGCTACGAACTTTTGGAGATTATATGCCATATTCAGCTACACGATTTGGCTATTGCCTGTCGCGAAAGTGTTAACAATAGCGGCGAGATTGAAACGAATAACGCGCAACGCGAATATTTTCGTAAAAGAACAAGTTAAATTATTCGATGAAATGGGAAAGGAATTCAGCAAATCGGCATTGCGCGGATTACGCGTCGCGCGACATCTTTGAAAAAACATTGGACGTTGTTAAGAGTTCCTCTCCCTCGCCACCTTACCCATTTTTTCCGGCTTGACAACTCTTGGTCGGTGCCTTAGGAAATATTTGGCAATTTGACTCGATAAAACTACTCTCTCCCTTCTAATATAAGTCACGCGGCGTCCGCGCGGGGGAAGAGACGAGGAACGGAGAGCTTCGAGAACGAAGATTAGCGAATGAACCAACAGCATCAAGGCCTAATTTTTGGCCAGAATTAAAGAACTGAAGATCGCAAGGGTGGATTCGAGCAGCGTATTAGAAACGAATCTCACTTCTTTTCCTCCATCTGCTCTTTTTTTTTCTTATTTTTCCTCCGAGATTTCGCTTGTGTTTTTTTCTTTGCTCTCTTTCTCTCTCTCTCTCTCTTTTGATCAACGCTGTCATATGTATTGCAAATGACGCACGGATAATCGAATTATTTACTTTCTAATTTCTAATATCACCGTATTTCAATTTCGACAATTTCAATGATGAGTTATGCAGGATAGTTGTAACTGATGATATAGGGTAATTCTACGAGAAAGAAATAGATCAAAAAGGAAGAAGTAAAATTTTTTTTAGTCTTATCCAGCACTTCTTTGTCTGACACTTTATTTGTAAAGTCACGTTAAATTATTTATGAAGTTACAGGCGTTGTTCAATTGAAAGAAAAGATTGTTTCTGCATTTGACACGATAAAATAGCACAACATTAGTTGTTGCACAATGGTCGCAGCAACTTAATAAAAAGAGCATGACTGTTTACATGAGCGTAACGGGAAATATTTGCAATAATATTTTCAAAGTGATTAAATTTCAACGCATTTCCATAATATTGGAAATATTTACAAACACGAGCAATGTCAGTAATATTAATTTACTACGAGATAAGACTGGCAAGTCAAATCTTACTTAAATATGCATAGTGCTAGATAAAACATCAGAATTGATATTTTCGAAAACGAAGCGTCGGACGAAAAAAAATTTTGCTCTTCTTTCTCGATTTATTTTTTCTCTTATTAAAGAATAACCTTGTATTTGATTATACCACCAGTTATGAATCATCCTGTATTGGCAGAAAAATTGCATTGATTAACGATTATAGAACTGATTCATCCGTTGAACTGCAAAATATCCTTGATAGTTTTATTTATCTACATATTTATATATCTATGTGTGTATAATATCATTATCGCTGTCCTCACCATCGCTTATACTACAAATTATAATTTAATATCTAGATAAACAAGACACACTCAGCAAATAAGTCATTATTTCAATAGAATAATATCTTATCGTTTTCTTCTCGAGGTAATTCTTCTGACTTTTCTTTGAAATTTTATACTTTATTGTACGATACGTCCGCGATAGATCGAGATTAACCTAAGTGACAAGGTATATTTATTTTAATACAGATGTTATATACATACATATATATAAAATTACCCAGCTATCCGTCTTGTCTTCATTATTATCTCGTAAGGTTACTCGCACGTACATATAAATGAGAACGTTTCTGTTTAAACTGAAAATATTTCTCGTAACTCTGTTAAATCTTTGTTAAATGGCTAAATATTTAACAAACAGTTTGTGAGAAAAAAAAAATGTCACGACTAACAATGTTCCTTTGCTAATGTCGTAAACAATGATACAAAATTGTGGAGCTAAATCGAATTAAATCTTTTCGACTTTCAATTTAAATCATATGCGACGAAATAAATTTAGCCGAAGCGGCCACGATACACGCTGTGTATTTACGATAAAACTGTAGCAGAAAAGTTGTCATCGTTATAACATCTAAATTAACACCGTTTATACGTTAGATACGAAGTAAACACTTTGATTTGTGGGTCAAAGATTACAGAGGCTATTTTCGATGCATCTAACCTTCAGAGATATCGGATAGTTTATCTGCATAATGACGCAACAATTCGAGGTGTCACGCGCGGAATAAAAGCAACAATCTCTCATAGAAAACAGATACAATTTCTCATTATTTTTTTTTTTTTACTAACAACAAGTTGAGAGTTTTTCGAATTTTACAGATGGAGTCGAGCACGTGTCAAACGGTCGTTTCATTAAATGTATCCGCTCGTATCTGCGACAACTTCCTATTTTCAATGAAACGCAAGATACGGAAACTGCTCCACGCCAATGAACGCATTTTTACCAAGCGCGTTACAACGGTGGTTTGACGATAGGAAGGATAGAATTGCAACAAAATCTTTATTTGCCCATGTTGAAATTGTATCTAACATCAACATGCATAATGTAGGTAATATTTCCACGTTCAACTGCAGGAGACAGCGCTGGCGGAAACGGTGGAGAAACAATAAGAACTTTTCCTCGGCTCGATGGCCAACCAGAATCCGTTTTCCCCGGTAACGTTAAACACGCCTTTCTCGAACTGCAACGGGGTGATCGTTTTTGGCGCGAGCTTGATGCTGCACTTGGCGAGAATGTGACAGAGCAGCACTTTCATCTCCGTCAGCGCGAAACGGTTGCCGATGCACATCCTCGGCCCAAGACCGAACGGCAGGAACGCGCTCGAATTGGTGATCGTCTTATTTTCGTAGAATCTATCCGGGTCGAATTTCAAGGGATTCTCGTGGTACTTCGGGTCCTGGTGGATCGCAGTCACGGGAACCCAGATGTTCATCCCTGTCTTGATGGTGAACGGTTTGTCGCCGGGTCGCGCTGGTGGCAGTTCAAAATCTTTGGCACACATCCTGTCTATGAACGCGGCGATCGGATAAAGTCGTAAGGTTTCGTTGATCACCGCGTCAAGGTACTTCATCTCGTGGATCGCGTCGTAGGTCAGCTCTCCGTTGTTATTTTTCAAAGTCTCGTCAATTTCCTGCTGCACCTTTTCCTGGACATCCGGATTCTCGGCCAACAGATGCGCCATTATGGAGGTTTGCGAGGCGATGGTGTCGAAACCGCCGAAGAAGAAGCCGAACGCGTGATTCGCC